AAGGAACTGGAATGTTTTTGATAGGTGGGCTTTGGGTTCACATTGTCTCCTGTGTATTTTACCATATTTTATCTAGATCTAATGCTAATGCAACAATACATAAAAATTGCGATTTAAAAAATAATTATAAAGGAATGACCCTGATTCCCCACCCCCTTCATTTATTCATCTGTCATTTATCCATCTCAATATGGATGGATCTCAAAGACATAATATTGAGTGTAAGGAGGAAAATATAGAATGATTCATGAAGGGAACCACTTATATAAATTATTTCAAAAGGTGCACAAGTCAATGGTTGGTGAGCACACACATAAATGTAAAAATATAAAGGCTGGACTAACTGGATAGGGGTTAGTTAAGTGGACATGGGGATGATGGTCCAACTAAATTTTAGCTTTATCTGTTAAGGTTTTATTTTTAAAAGATGATTATATTAATATATTACCCATGTGGTTTTTTTTTTAAGACTGAAGGCAAATACGACAAAATAATAATAATCGCTCATTCCACATAGTGGCATCATGTTTGTTTATTATGACATTCTTTATACTTTATGTATTTTCAAAATTTTAATTTAAAATTTAAAAAAACTCATAACGAAAGGATTTTTGAAAAAAAGTGATGATGAACTTTTCACAAGGATTTGTTGCTTTATTATAGCAGAGATTCTTAACCTGGGGACCTAGGATACAACTGTGTATTTCGCGGCTTCTTGGAGCCCCTATAATTATATGTACATCGGGCTTTTTCCTGGGAAGTGGCTTCATAGGTTTCTTCAGATTCTAGTATAAAATATCTGTTCTCTTCTCCTAAAATGTCTTCAAGCCTCTCTACCACCAGATACCATAAAATGGTATGTTTCACAAAATATTTGAATAATAAGCCGTGTTCTAAGCTGCATTCATATACGGTATCTGCATTCCTAGTGAACAAATGAATGTTAGTCTTCTGTCAGGGCCCAAACAGAATGTAGAGCAACCTAACAAGTATCAAGTGAATGGAATTACTTGCTATTTGCATGTTAAACCATGTAAGTGTGAAGAGAACTCCCTGCTCTTTCATCTTTGGATCCAAGAGACCACTTAGGAGTGACTAGGAAAAAAAAAATTCTGTGTGGCTTACAGAAGAGGCTAATTGCTTTATATTCACAGTGAAATTGTATACAGATACAAACATTTATCTTTGAAAGGTCAGTATAAACTTCAATAGCAGGTTTTAAGTGTGTTGAGAATAGAATTTTTTTAATTCATTAAAGTATAGGATAGTTATATTTTTGGTAATGAATGATATGTTCTTACATCAGTATCTCTGAGACCCTTATGTGCATTTAAAGAAAACTACCTGTTTCTCGATATTCATGAGAAATATGTAGTTAAACAAATCCAACACTTGGCTGACAAGGATGAAATGAAAAGAAGCTATTTGGTAAAACGAGTCCCTTCCTTCCTTCCTTCCCCCTTCCTCCCTCCTTCCTTCATTAGTCATTATTTGCTTTACCTTGGGTCAGCTCAGTACCAACAACCAGTTTCCATGATACTTGAGTGCTTATTTGAAGGAACTAATTCACTCACAGCCCAGTATCTAAAGAGCAGGTGGCAAAATTGGCTTTTTGTTCAGGAATCATAGGAGTTTCCCACACCTGCTCCCTAAGTAAGTGCTCAACGACCCCATGATGAAAATAATATGAATAAATCCAGCATCTTACCTCTACTCCTGCTGCGGCCAGGAGCCACCGGATGGACTCCATTCGGCCTCGTCCGTTGAAGTGGTGAAGCTTGGGCTTCCCCGCCATGCCTAAGGATTCCTGTGAATCAACAGAAAGAGACTGATGAAGACTCTTCGGCACAGAGAGCGAGCAGGAGAGAAATACAAATGTACAGAGCAGTGCAAAGTTAACCAGAAAGCTCTGGACTTGTGCCCCAAATCAAAGCTGTTCCTCAGCCCCAAGGCTGCCTGGGTTCTGTTTTCTGTCTCACAAATGGAGTTTATCATCACTAATTGGTGTTCTCAACACTGAATTGAATAACTGATATATTTTGGGCGCCTGGGTGGCTCAGTTGGTTAAGTGACTGCCTTCGGCTCAGGTCATGATCCTGGAGTCCCGGGATCGAGTCCCGCATCGGGCTCCCTGCTCAGCAGGGAGTCTGCTTCTCCCTCTGACCCTCTTCCCTCTCGTGCTCTCTATCTCTCACTCTCTCCCAAATAAATAAATAAAATCTTAAAAAAAATGAATAACTGATATATTTTTAAAAATAGATAGAGGACAAGTGAGGAAGCCAGACAGATGGAAGGAATTCAAAAATAAGACTCTGACCAGCTTTTCCTCCTGTAGCAGGTGATGAGCTTCTAGCATTCCAGTCTCTTTCCTTTTTATCTATACAGATCCTCCTCCTCTCTCCTGCCCGCACAACCCAGACTAGTAAAACTGGGTGAGATTAGGGGAGGCTGATGCTTTTCACTTTCCAAGTTTATCTCGGTACTTTAATTCAGGTGTCCTCTGAAGCCTGCAGACAGGATTCAAGAAGATTTTCAATGACTCATTAGGATTTAAAGCAAAAGTGCAGAGTTAGGCACTGGGTCTTTTCACACTTTCTTTTTCCTCTGAAAATGAAAACATCTTTTTTAGAAGCATAACCCTCACTCACCTTGAAGAAGTTAAAGTAGTGGGGAAATTAAAAGCCCATCCGCACCACCCCAAGATAACCTCTGAGGCTTATGGGACATGAGGGGGTGGCCTTGGTGGGGTGACAGGCTCTGGACATTCCAAAGTAGCTTGAGGTCCCTGGAGAGGTGGGTCCCTGGCAGCAGGGGAGGCTATGTGGGGAGGTGGGAGTGGCCTCACTCTATGAATGGGACCTGATTTATTTTGCAGCATATCACCTGGCTCACTTTTTAAAACAGCAATTCTACACATTAAGAGCTCAGGAAAATAAGTGAAGAAAAAAGGTTAGATTGAGGATATTATTATTTTGAAAACCAGAATGAAAAAAAAAAGTGACCTAGATCTATGGTTTTTCAGCCCCCTATGTGGTACCTATTAGAATCACCCTATTAGGGGCACAGACAGGTGCACAAGTGCGCATGCTCGTTCCCTTTCTCTCTCTCTCTCTCTCTCTCTCTCTCCCCCCCCCGACCCCTGCCTGGGTCCCACATTGATTTGGGAAAGGACTCTGGCATCAGTGATTTTTAGAATCTTTCTAGGTGATTCTAACATGCAGTCAGCATTAAGAACCACTGATCTGGATGGTGGTTGTATCAATAGCTGCCAAAACTACTAATAGAGATCCCTAGAATGGAAAGGTCAGGCTGACCACTCCACACACCTAACATCACTAAAAGTGGGACAACCAGACATGACAATCCTTCCAATGTGATGCAGTAGAAGTGTACAGCACTGCCTTCAAGGATTCTTGACAAAACAACTGACCAGGAATTCAATCAAGCCTCAAGATACCAATTTATGGGAAATGCAGGAAACAGATGAACACTTCAGGGATGCAATTAGCAAAATCGGCAAAATCTATACGTGGAAATCAACGGTCTTGCCATTCAGATAGTGGTCCCCAGGCTAGCAACATATGGATCACCTGGGAAATTGTAAGAAATGCAGGCCTCTCGGGCTCCACCCCAGACCCTCTAGAATCTACATTTTAAGATCCCCAGGGATTTACATCCACATTCAAGTTTGAGAAGCACTGTTCTGCAGGCCAAGTGACTAACACATTACCAAAGAACTCTCTACTTTTATACTGTGGTGATAAGAAGTTTTAAAAAAAATTGCATGAAAATCAGAGAGGCAGGGGAAATCTAAGAGCTCAAGAGATTTAAGAGATTCTTCAAACAAATGCAATGTACAGAAACTTTTTTTGGATTCTGATCTTAACAGAGCAATTATTTTAAAAATAGATGATATGATTAGAAACTTTGAACCAAGAACACTTAATATAAGAGAATTATTGTTAATTTTTTAGGTAATATGGTGATATTATGGAATGTTTTTCAGAAGGAATCCTTATCTTGAGAGACCCTGAGCAGAGGATGCAATTAACTTAAAGCTGGATTCCTGACCTACAGAAACTAGGAAATAATAAATGGATGTTATTCTCAGAAAAAAAAATCCCTATCTTTCAGAGATTCATATCAAAGGAGTTATGGATAAAATAGTATGATATTGGGATTTGCTTCCAATTAATCCAGTTGTGAGGGGGGAATGGGTGGGAGTCTAAGTATAACACAAGAGACATTTTGTTGCTAATTGCTGCAGCTGGGTGATGGGTCTATGGGTTGCTTACACTATTTGTCCATTTTCATAAATGTATGAAATTTCCCATCATAAAAACATTTTTAATTGCTCAGCAAAAGCTGATGTTATTCCTAATGGACTGAAGCTTTAAAGGCCCTGGGGTGGCTTCTGAATCACAAGGAAATTTGGAACAGTGTTCATTCCAGCTTCAGGGATGAATGTGTGGGATGAACGCTCAGCCTAGATTTAGTTTGTACCCCTGGTGGAATGGGGTTCAAAATAGAACTGTTATAGAAATACGAAAAAAAATTTGTACTCTTGAATTTGTGAACTGGCTCACTTGGATCTGCACCCCATAGTATCCACTCTGAAAAGTTCCCTCTGAGAAGTCTGAGGCCCAGGGCACTTGTGAGCTGACCCACCTTCCCATCTGGTCTCACCCACAGCAGATGTGGGGCATATGTGGAAGAAAGCAGGTGCCTCCCACAGGACAATGGGCTTCTGATTCTCATGCTGTCTTGGGGAGCTGGCTGAGAGGGGCTGAGTTCATGGAGCCTGGGGAGGCCCCCGTGAGGACCTGGGGCTAGATATTGTGGTCACTGGTCTCTGGTTCCATCAGCTTTGGGCTGGTTCCCGCAGAGTGGAGACCAGTGAGCGGCCTTGGGTCAGGTTCTGGGGAGGCTCTGACAAGCACAGGTGGGGCCCTGAGCTGGGGAGGACCTGAGCCACCCAGAACTTCGCTTGTCATCCACAGGGCCTGTGCCTGACTCCCAGCAAGACTGCCAGGGGGGCCCTGTCCAGACCCTCCCCTCCATAAGCATTCATTCGTGGGGGTGGTTCCCAGGAGACCCACCGGCCTGGGGCACAAGCTCTTGATCCCTTGCTTTCCCTGGACCCTACTTGGGCAGACAGAGCCTTGGTTTCCCTCAAGTGGGGACATCCCCATTATTCTGGACCTGGGGTTTCTTGGGTCACCCCCACTCCCCAGCAGTTGACTAGACCAGCACAGGGCTCCCCTATTATCCTGCTCCCTCCTCTACCCCACTTTTGGGGGATGTGGAAGGTCTCTGCCCCCAACTCACCTGCCTGCCTGTCCCCCAGTTGGGGACTGTGACATTCATGAGTACTTAACCTGGGGGCAGCTTACCTGAGCCTTAATAAAGAAAACCATACCTTAGAGAAAAAGAGAAAGCAGAGAAGGGCCAGGGTGACAGCTGGGAGAGCCCCCAGATATGTAACATATAATGGTATGTCCCCAGTCCACTCATTCTAAATGTACATATTAATTTGAGGTGAGAGAGTAACAAGAGTATTTGGCAAATATAACTAAATCAAATGGTTCATCCATTTTAAACCATTTGAATTGTAATTTGGGCTTTCATTAAAGTTATAACTTTATTATAAACAAAGAAATTGGATATATTGTATCTGTGACTTACACATATAGTGAATTGCTGGGTTTTAACAGCTGAATTTGTTTGCTTAAGAGAAGTACTGAACCTACTCCTACAAATGACCCCCAAATAGATTTATAAGCAAAATATCATCTTCCACCAACTTTTTTCAGACTTCCAAATCTGCTTTTTATGGAGGGCAAGGAAAATCATAAGAAGGCTCAATAATAGACTCTAAGAGCACTGATCACAATGCTCCCCCACCTATTTGCAGAAAATAAAAAGGGATTAGAAGCAATTATTGTGCATTTATTTCATTCTAGCTCAAAGAACTCCATTAGGCAGATACACCTGCTAAGTAGATAATTTCACAACTTTCAAGTGGGCATCTGAAATTAAAAAAAAAAAAAATCAAAGGTAATAATCCATTCTTTCAAGGGTGTAAGAATAAAAGGAATTAAACAGACCAGTAACTACACATCTTTTTCCCTGATCCTCAGCCTGGCATTCTGGAATTATATCTCCAATTATCTTGGCATCATGCCCCCTTCTGCTTTGTCTATGGAAACTGGATTATCAGTAACCCTGATTCCTGGATAATCTAAGAGAGAGTAAGGATGTTCCCCTCTATAAAAGTCAAGCTAGAAACCTAGTGCACAGTACATTTTCATGTGTCCTTGGGTATTGAATGCATGTTTTCTGGTCTCTGGAAAATCTTTCTGTCCTGCTGATGACACAAAGTGAAGTTTCTTTTGCTCTCATAAAGACACTGTCCTGGCACACATTGGTCTGCTCTGGGAAAGTCTGTGTTTCAGTGTCATGGCCAGAGGATTGCTTGTGTAGGAACTAAATTGTTAGGAATGGTGGAAAAGGAGGCTTTGTAAACTAATCAGATGATAGCCAGATAAGCAAACAAGTTAATTTATTTGAACTATATTAGAAACCATTTAAGCAAAGCTTAAGCTCTCTGATATATTTAAATGATTCTGCTAAAATGTTTTGATTCACTCTTCCCTCCTCAGTGGGTTACACCCCCAGCAAACAGTAGTCTCATTGAAAGTTATTGGCTGGCCCCGTCCTTTTTACGTCATTGCATCATAATGCATGTTTTTTTTTTTTCACAAGTTTTACAAATCATACCAACAGACTTATCCC